TTTTGAACTGACATTTAACATCAAAGTAAACCACACTGTGCTCTTAGAAAATAAACTTGCTTTCTTTCCACACCTTCCAGAAACATAGCCCCAAAAGTATAATTCTTTATACTTACTCATATAAACACTATTTCTTGAACTCCAAAATATGGTTTCAAGTCTGAAGGATTAAAGTAGTTAGAAACATATCAGAGCTAAAGTACTCCCCCTTCCTAACTTATGAAATATATCAATATAGATATAGTTACAACCTTAGTCTAGTACATGATTATCTCTCTAAATCCCCAAAGCCAGCATAGTTCTACAATCAAAAATAGTGTTTACTACTGTAGAGTATAAACTAGTACTATCACAACTTATAAATCCATAAACTTGAAGACCAAGCAATTATACTTCTAGGCATTTACACAGCTAAATCACATGTACAACAGCGCAAAGATATGGACAAGAATGTTAGTGAATCATTTTAAATTAAAGCAAAAACTTTTGAAGGAAATAAAATGTCTATCAATAAGGGATTTGTTAAATGTATTAGGAACTTCCACATGACAGAAAAGCTCTCAAACACTACAAGAATAGTGTAAGAATATCAAAAGATGGATGCCAAATATTACTGAGGCATATTTATGTAAATATAATAATATATGTTTATACACCCTTAGATGAGGAGTAGGACTGGAGCGGGCAGGCCTGCAGGGGTGGGGGGGATTCCTTCACTTTGTGCTTTTAAATTTCCCTAAATTCGGGGCATTTTTACAGTAAGAACAATATTATGTAATTTTATAAACTGAATATTAAGATGTTTCCTGTTTGGAAACAACAGGCAGTACCAGTGCCAGACTCACTTTCTATGCCATTTGCTTACAAAGGGCCCCAGCAGACAGTTTCCCAGGAAGCTACCAAGAAAAGCTCCTTGCTACCCTAGATCATTTAAGGCAAAACTCTGAAATACTTCCTTTTCATGCAACTTACTCCAAGCTGTCCCTAGATCACAACTGTGCTTACCAGGTCAATCTTTGACATGTTGTACCCCAATCCCTAGCTGCTGTCTTATCATACAGCCAATGATTGATGCCCACACCTAGTCTGATACCTTCCTTTACCCCCTCGCCCCCCCACTCTTCCTCCTCCTTCAGTCTGCGGTATTATTTTCAGTCTACATTTCCCACGCTCTTTTGCCATCACAAACTCTCCCACCCCTTGATCACTAGATATATAAACCAAATTTAGTCAGTGAATGAGGAAAGGGTCACTTTGTTCCCTGGCTTAGTTACAGAATTTTGGAAATAAATTAAATATTAAAAACATACATTCATCTTCTAAATGCTTTCAATCCTACTGATGAGCTATACATTGAAATGAACTATAAAAATGACAAAGGAAAGAACATGATGGTTTACCACTGCATGTCCCACACTGCTTACAACAGAAAAGCTCATGGCTAATAAGCATCCTCAAAGTTCACATTGCTATTGCAGAAAACAAAGAAATAAATAAAAACAAAACAAATGTTCATTTTAAATACAAATTTTAAATAAATAGAGATTAAAAATAACATATTTTTTCCAAGATCAATATAAACACATCATTCTAAAATTACCATGGCTTTGCTTTGGTTTGAAATTTCAAATAATGCTAAAGACATGGAATTTTTATGTTTATCAAAAGAGGATAGGCATTTAAAAAATGAAAAACACTTTCTTAAAATGAGGTAACTCCATTAATATTCCAGAGAAGTACACCTCTATTCAGCACTTCAATTACTGGGAAAGAAAGGAGACATGGCATAAAATTAAGATTTGCTTTTTATAGTGAGCCTGAATTCTAAAGCCCAGATGAGAGAAATATTATACCAGCTTTGTCTGTTAAAGATGGAGTTTCATGTAGGTTTATTTAAAACTTATTTTAAAAATTGAATTCCCTTAGAGAGCTACACAAAAGAACACTATGTGATACTAACACCTAATTATAGGATGGAAACCTGAACCCATCAACAGCCAACAGAGAGAGAAGAGAATTTCCATCTATCCCTCAAGTTGTTTTAAAAAAGACTTTTTTAAAATATAAAAGGTTTCTAAGCTTGCTTTATAAAAGGAAAAGCAGTTTTCTTTTGTTAAAATAAAAAGGACAAGAAATTGAGAGACAGTGTTCTGAACATTTTGGTTACAGAGTACAATAAAATCTATTTCACAGAAGGTGGTAGTAACTAAGGAGTATATTCCCCTATTCTTCCCACACATAATAATTAAAGATTCATACAAAATTTCAAATTATCTTAATACTTCATAATACAAAGTCTGATGTAACCATGTATATTTCATGTGAGATTTACAGGATTGACCAGGAAACTGTTATCAAAATCACATCATCCACACATTTAAATACAGGTCTCTGCATCATATTTTATAAGTTCCGGGCTTCTGAATGGTAGCGCTGGAAATTTCTGAGTATTTAAAAAAAGGGGGGGGTGGGACTTCCCTGGTGGTGCAGTGGTTAAGAATCCACCTGCCAATGAAGGGGACACGGGTTCAATCCCTGGTCCAGGAAGATCCCACATGCCATGGAGCAACTAAGCCCGCGTGCCACAACTACTGAGCCTGCACTCTAGGGCCCACATGCCGCAACTACTGAGCCCATGTGCTGCAACTACTGAAGCCCACATGCCTAGAGCCCATGCTCCACAAGAGAAGCCACAATGAGACACCTGCACGCCAGAACAAAGAGTAGCCCCCACTAGCCGCAACTAAAGAAAGCCCACGCACAGCAATGCAGACCCAACGCAGCCAAAAAATAATAAATAAATAAATAAATAATAAAAGGGTTATTTTCATTTACTTATGTGTACTTGTTTGTTCTAGGTAACCCTGAAGACAATTATCAACAACAGCTCAAATGTCCTCTGCTCTGTGGTGATCTCCCCAATCTCCCAGGCAATTAATTCATTTCTCTTTTATGATCCCATAGCATTTTTTCAAAATGCTATTATATTACAATATATTTTCTCTCTTTACATGTCTCTCCATGTTGAGATATCTTTTAGGACAGAAATCATATCTTAATCAATTTTATATCTTCAGGACCCACAGTAGGAACTCAGAAAGTACTTAGGGAATGAATAAATGAACGAGTGACTGAATGAATGAGCAAACTAACTATACAAATTACAAGCAGACTCTAAAAATAACAGGAGCTCAAAATAGAGCTATCATATGATCCTGCAATCCCACTCCTGGGCATATACTGGGAGAAAAACATGGTCCGAAAGGATTCATGCACCCCATTGTTCACTGCAGTGCTGTTTACAATAGCCAAGACATGGAAGCAACCTAAATAAATGTCCATCGACAAAAGAATAGATAAAGAAGATGTGGTACATATATATAATGGAGTATTACTCAGCCATTAAAAAGAATGAAATAATGCCATTTGCAGCAACATGGATGGACCTAGAGACTGTCATACTGAGTGAAGTAAGTCAGACAGAGAAAGAGAAATATCGTGTGTGATATCGCTTATGTGTGGAATTTTTTTAAAAAAAGATAGAAATGAATTTATTTACGGAAGAGAGACAAACTCACAGACTTTGTTGTATACCTGAAACTAACACAACATTGTTAATCAACTATACTCCAATATAAAATAAAAAGTTAAAGAAGCAAATAAATAAATGGGGTTACTAATAAAGCATAAGTTATTCATGTTAGACAAATTTGAAGTCATGACCTTAGAGAGTTCAAGTCTACTAATAAAGAGTATAATTAGCTTTATATCATAAGAAAATCTGAAAATATATTTACCATTACCTCTGCTTAATTTATTTCCAGTGGTTGGTGCAAGTATGACAAATAAAGCCTTTATAAAATTTCAAAAACAAATAAAATAACATAAAATTAAAAAATAAAAATACTAAGAGGTCTAAAAAGTGACTGTCTTTCCAAATTCTACAGAGGGAGAGACTGGGAAGAAAAGGATTGCCCAAGGACCAAAGGTTTGGTAAAGATATGATTTTGTTGGTATTCTGAACACTTACATATACAACAAATTCAGTATTTCCACTGTTTACTGCCAGCTTTCACTCTTAAAGAAATAAGGTGCTTTCTATTCTCTGCAGGTTTTGGGCCACCTTCATCTCACAAAATTGTTCGTAACACAAAGCAACTCTAAAATTTATTTTAGATGGATATTTTTCATTCTGTGAAGAATGCATCTCTTTGACATCTATATAAAGACTATATTTCAATTTGTCATTTTGTGTAGAAAAAATGTTTGTCTTACCACAGAATAAGTAAGAGAAGAAATGATAGAAATTTATTTGAAATTTTAAATTAGTTGGTTAGTGAATGAACAGTTTTAATTTCTTCTACCTCTCCTTCAAAATAATTTACATATAATCTCCTGAAAGAATGCAAAGTGAACAGGAGTAAAAATCTGGAGACTTGTAGTTTTTTCCCACACTAATCACTCGGTCTATGATGTGAGTAAATCACAAATTGCCATCTGCTCATCTATAATGGGGATTAGATGTAATCAGTGATTTTCAAATTGGACTACTCGAAGCCTGGAGGATTCTGTGATTTTGCGGGGAAGAGGTTAAAAGAACATGATTAAGAATTTGTACTTCTTAAAGAGTTTTAAAAAAATCACTATATTATATGACTTATAAGCATCCTCTAATATCCAAAATCTTTTTATTGTATTTCTTTATGTTGTTAAAGACTGCTAACAGTCTCATATTTTAAATTGGAAAACTAAATGCCAAATGTATAGGTGTCCTTTAAAAATCAAATAATTTATGCAGTAGAAGTCACCCAACTCTAATTCTAATAGTATCTTTTGGAAACAGTTGCCCATATTGTCATGTAACTACAAATGAAACACGGCCCTCCAGAGAGCAAAGACTAGGAATTATTTTTTCCTTGAGTAAGCGAGTCAATTATCACACTAATGTAATTTTTAATTTCATAAGCATTAAAAAGACATATTTATTATTTTTAAAATACCTGTACTATAAATTGTAACTCTCTTCTTTCTGCTTCCCATTGTTCTGCTTGTAATCTAAACTCCTCCAATGCTGTCTCCCTGATATGAGACTCCATCTCATTCTTCTCCTGCTGATGTTTTTCCAACGCTTCCTTTACGAGAATAAAATCTTGTTTTAGTATTAGATCAATAAAAGTTATCTTTCTTCCTTCCTCCACAATTTAAATATACAGAGGGCTCTCCTTACCTATACAGACTGTTAAACTCATTATAATTTATGTTAAAATCATTAATTAATAGAATAATTATATTTTGATCATCAGAATGCATATGTGAATAAGAAGCTATGGTTACCCATTTAATTTAAGCAACATTTCATATATAGATAGATAGATAGATATAAATAGATATAGATATATAACCCAATTTTTCCAAAAAATTTAACTGCAGGGGATTGAACAAAATGCATCTTATGATAGAGACAAAACAAAGTGGATTGTTTGGCAAATATGTAAAGGAGATAATATGGAAAGCTCTAATTAGCTATAAAAACACTATTTGGATTATCCCTGATAATTTATATATAAATCTGACAAAGAACACTGTATTTACCAAAGGGGAGAAGGAGGAGTTTTGTGCAACAGATCAGTATAAGGAAACTCTAGAATGTTAAAAATTTGAAAAGTCAAAAAAAGTTTTTTAGGTTTAGATTATTAACTAATTTCTAGTTCTACAGATAAACAATATTTGCAAGAGGTTTTTCTTCTGGGGTTTTCCCAGTTGTACTACATTTACAAGATCTAATCTGGTTCAAAATCTCAGAAGTATAAAATGCAGGTTTCCCAAGAAGCCCAATCTTCTAAACCATAGGGTTTTAAACTAAGTCTGCATTAACACAAGGAGAAAGATTCTGTGGTTTATATGAGACAGAGGGAAAGCCTCCTGTGTCCTTATAAACTGTAGCGCGGTCCTGCATGATAAAGACTGCCCTCCCAACTTTCCCTAATGGAAAGCCAACAGGAGGAGCCTTGAGGTTTTTTCCCCTTAGGGCAAAACAGTGACTCCTCTTCACCCCCAAAGGTCTCTGTGCAGATTAGTTCAAAGCCAATTGTATAAAATCAAAGCAAAGCTCTCCTACCAAATAGGTGATCAAGATCACATCAAGATCTATAAGAGATCTTGAGATGCAGGCTGATTGACTATAAGGAATGCTGCCACCATTACCCTCTTTCCCCATAGCTCTAGATATTTCATGTGGAGAAGTTTATACAAAGCAGTTCAGGGACTTGTAGTTCCAGGTGCCACCTAAACTCCCCCCATTCAAATACTAATGGAGCCCTTGTATATGCCAGGCACTGTTCCAGGGTCTAGGAATATTACAATAAAGAGAAGAGAAAACTGTGACTGTTGACATGCAGGAAATCAAAAGAAGATATGCTGACAATGTCAGGGAAGCTTTGCGCTGAAACTTTTACATTTAACAAATGCTTTTGTAAAATTATTTTTAGTGAAGATTTATTTCCAATATTCTGAAAAGCCATTTACACAAGTGGTAAATGTAGAGCATTTTTATCATGTTATTTTTTAAATAAATTTATTTATTTATTTATTTACTTACTTATTTACTTATTTACTTATTTATTTATTTATTTTTGGCTGAGTTGGGTCTTTGTTGCTGCACACGGGCTTTCTCTAGTTGCAGCAAGCGGGGGCTACTCTTCGTTGTGGTGCACGGGCTTCTCACTGTGGTGGCTTCTCTTATTGCGGAGCACGGGCTCCAGGCACACGGGCTTCAGTAGTTGTGGCTCACGGGCTCTAGAGCACAGTCTCAGTAGTTGTGGCGCACGGGCTTAGTTGCTCCGCAGCATGTGGGATCTTCCTGGACCAGGGCTCAAACCCGTGTCCCCTGCATTGGCAGGCGGATTCTTGACCACTGCGCCACCAGAGAAGCCCTATCATGTATTTTTAAATTTAAATTGGTACTTCCAAAAAGTAGCAAATACAGACAATTCAAAATCTATCTTTTAAGTGGGTGGCAACTTTAACATTAAACCATACTTTTACTTTAGAGACTAAAAAGGAACAAAAAATGGGAGAATAAATAGCTCACAATAATTTCAATAAAAGGTCATCAAATATTTATATACCGTGCCTATACAGAGTGTACCCTACACAGGTAATGAAGTTTACATCAGATACATAAAAATGTTTCTATATTTATTGCATATTCAGGTCAAAATCTGGGGCCCACATTTCTAAAATTACCAATTTTCATGTTGCTGGACCAAAAGGGTTGTGGGTTCTAATCTTCTTACAGTATGCCCATATAAGTGAGTGGTTTTTTTTTGATCAGAGATCTCAAACTGTTTTTCACAAAAGAAACAATATATATATTAATATATTGCTAAAGCATATAAAAAATAGACCTGCAAAAATGCCCCTAAAAAGGAAAGAAGAGAGAGAGAAAGGAAGGGAGTTAGGGGGGGTGGGGAAGAAATTAGATTCTCTTGCTTTCTGGTATTTTCCTTTCCAAAAATAACTTCAAATAATGTATAATAAATATAATGAATATTAAATATAGAAAAATTCCTTCATAAAATATTTTACCTGTACAGTTTTCTCTAGTCTGCTTTTTTCTTTCATAAGTAAATCATATTTTTGATCGCAGTTTTGAATTATATTGTCTCTTTCCTCCAAATCACATTCAAATCTTCTGCATTCTTCTTTCCATTTCTGCTGGGAAGTCTGGAATGCTTTCTCCATCCCACTTGCCTTTCCCTGAAGTTCTGCATTCTGAGCTATTAAAAATTATAAAAGAATAATAGGTACATTTACAACCATAAATTAAAACCGTAGGAGTTCAGAAACCTAGGCATTGGAGCTGATTTCATTTACAGCATGATATTAAGACAAAACATTTAACCACTTCATACCAGTGAACTCTTGAAAAGTCCCTGTCCCAAAACCAATCTATTCTACAATTTCTCAATCTCTTCTTCCCCTTCAGACAGAGGTGATTTTGCTGTGAAATGGTTATGACATATTCCTAAAGGCACGCCCAAGTTTAGATGCATCAGCTGCAACTCAAATGCTTGTTCTCCTATTTAAGAAAATAAATCAAAAAAAATTTTAACTGTGACATATAATAGGGCTACTTTTTAAAAAGACTTGATAGATCACAAATTTTGATTTTTGACTTGGCAACAAGTTAGCTGTGGCATATCTTACACTTGATACTGTCACAAAATTGAGGTCGGGAAACCTAGAACTATAGCTCTTTACTCCCCCAAAGTTAGGCTCGATTCACCTCTCATCCTAGTATTACCTCAAGAATAACCATCACTTCCCAATTCACTATGGCTGCTGTTCTGCCTCAGAACCTAGAAAGAAGTGATGAAAGGCTTCCAGGTCTGGCTCCATCACCTACCACCTGATTAAACCTCCCTGACGCTCTAACCCTCAGTGGGAATAAAGTTGTTGTAAAGATAAAAATGAGGAAATATGTACAAACGTACTTGTTAAACAAACCAAAAAAAAAAGCCAGTTAGTAGTATTATTTTTAAATTATATTTGTGTTTTGAATGGATCGTATGTTCAAAATACAAGTTATTATCAAAGGTACAAAAAGTCTCCCTCCCATCCAGTTACTCTCTCTATAAGACATTATTGTATGGTTTAGTATCCTGTATTGCAGGTAAAAAGTTTGAGGCCATTTTGATTCCTGTTCCTTTGCATCTGGCTTATGTTTCTCTCCTTTCCTTTTCTTTTCTCTTTGAAAGCTTCAGGATCTTTTTTTGGTCTCTATTTTTCTGGAATTTCATAATGCTATGCCTTCACATGGGTCTATTTTTTTCCACTGTGGTGAATATTCTGTGGACCCTTTCAATCTGGCAACTCATATCCTTCAGCTCTGAGATTTTTTTTAAGTAATTTCATTGATCATTTATCCCTCTCTGTTTTCTCTCTTATCTCTTTCTTTCAATATTACCTATTATTCAGATTGGCCCTCAAAGTTTCTTGCCTTTTCTCTCCTATTTTTCCACCTTTGTCTTTTTTACTCTAATTTTGGGATATTTCTTCCATCTTCATCTTCCAATGCTTCTACTGATATTTTTCATTTCTGATTTCACATTTTTTTTTACATCTTTATTGGAGTATAATTGCTTTACAATGGTGTGTTAGTTTCTGCTTTATAACAAAGTGAATCAGTTATACATATACATATGTTCCCATATCTCTTCCCTCTTGCATCTCCCTCCCTCCCACCCTCCCTATCCCACCCATCTAGGTGGTCACAAAGCACCAAGCTGATCTCCCTGTGCTATGCGTCTGTTTCCCACTAGCTATCTATTTTACGTTTGGTAGTGTATATATGTCCAGGCCACTCTCCCACTTTGTCACAGCTTACCCTTCCCTCTCCCCATATCCTCAAGTCCATTTTCTAGTAGGTCTGTGTCTTTATTCCTGTCTTACCCCTAGGTTCTTCATGACATTTTTTTTTCTTAAATTCCATATATATGTGTTAGCATACGGTATTTGTCTTTCCCTTTCTGACTTACTTCACTCTGTATGACAGACTCTAGGTCCATCCACATCATTACAAATAGCTCAATTTCGTTTCTTTTTATGGCTGAGTAATATTCCATTGTATATATGTGCCACATCTTCTTTATCCATTCATCCGATGATGGACACTTAGGTTGTTTCCAAAAATACGGAACGCTTCACGAATTTGCGTATCATACTTGCCCAGGGGCCATGTTAATCTTCTCTGTATCGCTCCAATTTTAGTATATGTGCTGCCGAAGCGAGCACCTGATTTCACATTTTTAATTTCTAAGAGCTTTCTTTTTTTTATACCACCTGGTTCTTGCATCATGGATGGAATATATTCTTTTTCAGCTCTGAGGATATTAATAATGCTTATTTGTTAAATCTTCTCCTTGCAGAGTTTCTGATTCTTCCAAATTATTTTTTTCTCTCCATTTTAGAGGTTTTCCACAAGTATCTGCTAATTCTTGGCTGCCTGCTCCCAATTAAGTGTAACTATAAGGGTGACATACCCTTTATACATCCACATAACCACTACCTAGATTCTGAGCTTCAGGATGAAACTTGATAACTGTGGTCTGATAAAAGTAGGCCATTTATTAGGAAACCCCCAACATCAGCGTCATTAGGTTTTTCCTCTTGGCTTGGTCAGATGACCCATGGAAGAGTTTTCCAAGCTCCCACGTGAAGTATAGAAATCTCAGTGCTAGCTTTTGGGAAAGTCAATAGAAAAAAGGAAGCTGGAAGGAATAGTTCCTCAATATTTAACATTGAGTATGTTATCTTCCTGTTTTTGCCAGTCTGGAGACCCTGTATTTTATCATCTCCAGATATTAAGCCCCCCGAATTACACTAGGAAGTGGGAGCAATCCCAGAATATCATACTCTTGGGAAGGGGATCTAAGAACCTAAGTGTCTCTAGAGCAAACAGATTTCATCTAACCCTCTTTATTTTACTTCTGCTATTCCAATTCCTAATTCCAAAGGTAGCTGGTGCTTCCAGTTCATAAGCCTTTGATTATCTAGCAAGTTGTGTGCCAGCTTTCCCAACCCCTGGCTTAGGATTCTGATGTCTCAGGTCTGCCAAGTCAGTTATCCCTCATCCATTCATTTTCCAGCTTTGAAAATTTTCTCTCTTATCTTGTCTCCTCTCTCAATCATTATGAGATTATCTCTTTTAATATCCCATAACTCCATCAGGTTGTTTTTTATTCTACCCTCAATATTTTATCATATATATAAAGTTTAAAGTATTGTAAAATGAACACCTGTAAACCCCAGACTAGACTCTATGATTGTTAACATTTTGCCATACGTATTTTCTTTACCACACATTCATCCATCTATCCATGCATCCACTCCTTTTTTTCATCCATCAGACCATACTTTTTTATGCATTTCAAAAGAAGTTGCAAATAAAAGTATATTTCACTGCTGAATAATTAAGCATTCATATCAATAATATAGAATTCAATTTTCTTTTGCAGGTAAAATTTACATATAGTGAAATGGACAAATCTTTAAGGGCTCCATTCAAAGAGACTTGACAAATGCATACATTCATGTAACCAAAACCCCTATCAAAATACAGAAAATTTCCTTCAATCGGAAAAGTTTCCCCCTACTTTTCCTAGTTAGTCCTCACTGCCAACCCATCCTAGAGGTAACTGCTGTTCCGATTTTTTTTTCACCAACGACTAGTTTTTTCTGTTCTAGAATTTCATATAATGGAATCATACCGGAAGTCCTCTTCTGTGTAAAGTTTCACTCAGCATAATGTTTTTGAGATTCACTCACGTTACTGAATGTATCAGGAGTTGGTTCATTTTTATTGCTTAGTAATATTTCATTGAGTGAATATACAAAAATTGTTTCTTCATTCTTCTGTCAATGGACATTTGGGGTTTTTCTCCAATTTGGGGCTGCCATGAATAGAGCTGCTATGAAATTCTTATACAAGTCTTTTGTGGACAAATGTTTCTCAGAGAAACTACCAAAGAGTGAAACTTCTGGGTCACTGGATAAATATACATTTATTTTAAAAGAAATTGCCAAGTTTTTTTCCAAAGTAGTTGTACCATTTCACTTTCTCACTAACAAAGTATAAGAGTTCCAGCTCCTCTACATCCTAACTAACATTTGGTATTGACAGTCGTTTCAATGAGAGCCATCAGATGGGTATGCAGTGACAGTCACTGTGGTTTTAGTTTGCATTTCCCTGATGACAAATGAGGATAAGCATTTTTCATGTGATTAACGGCCATTCTTCTATGTTCCTCTGTAAAGTGTCTTGAAATCATCTGACTTTGGGCAAGTAACTTCCCATCTTCCCTGGACTTCAACTTCCTCATAATTAAATAAAAGTCATTAACTTGTACATCTAGTGCCTTTCAAGTCTTATAATCCTAAGTTCCAGACAGTAGTTTAGTAATTAAATGCCAAAGGTGATCAAAAGTATTTCTGACCAATGGCCAGGCCAAGACTAGGGATCGTAACCTTTATAATATCATAACGTGACATTCACTTGGCCCCATGCAGTTAACAAAGCACTTTTATTTTCTCATTTCATCCTTAAAACAACCTAGGTTCAAGTATCAGTAAGTGGCAGAATCAGGACCTAAATCTAAATCTTCAGAATTCACATTCAGTGTTCTCTTCATTGAAACCTGCTGAGTATAAGAATGTTCAGGGCAACACTATTCTTAATAAACAAAAACCAGACACTACCCACTACCAATAGAAATGGATGAATTTAAGTGTGGTATGTTCACACTATATAATACTAAACATCAATATGAAGTTCATATGACAATAGGAATGAACTCACAAGCACAAAGCTGAAGAAGCCAGATACAAAAGAGTACATACACTATATGATTCCTTTCATACAAAGTACAAAAAAGAGGTAAAATTAATTATTGCTATTAAAAATCAGGATAGGGCTTCCCTGGTGGTGCAGTGGTTGAGAGTCTGCCTGCCGATGCAGGGGATGTGGGTTCGTGCCCCGGTCTGGGAAGATCCCACATGCCGCGGAGCGGCTGGGCCCGTGAGCCACGGCCGCTGGGCCTGCACGTCCGGAGCCTGTGCTCCGCAACGGGAGAGGCCACAACAGTGAGAGGCCCGCGTACCACAAAAAAAAAAAAATCAGGATAGCACTTATCTATGTGGAGGACTTCTGGTAATTTTCCATTTCATGACCTAGGTGCTAGTTATAAGTCATACACTTATCTAGGCACACTTCTTTATATATATTATACTCTGTGGTTCCTAAACCTAGCTAATCAACAAATCATCTGCAGTGCTTCTTGAACATACAGATTTTCTCAAGCTAGAGATTCTGTTTCAGATTACATGTGATAGAAGGCCTATGAATTTTTTTTAAATCTCTGTGTGATTCTGCTGATTATTCATGAAACAATGAATAGTGCTCTAAAGTACTCTAAAATGAACAATGCATAGTGTTCTAAAGTGCTCTAAAAAGTGATTAACAGAGTTTTGAAACCATTTTTCTATACTTGTACAAAAAAATAATGTAAGGTAAAGTAAATGAATGTTCACATAATTGCCAGAAGACATACACACACAGCGAAGTCTGTCCATCAAAGGCCAGTCAAAGAAATCAAAACCCTACCTCGGATCCTATATGGAATGCATACACAACAGGGAGCAATGATATACAATGACGTTACAATCCTAAACATGGAAAGAAATAGAAATAGCTTTACCACAGAGTTTTTCTTGGATCCTATGTGCCTCAGCTAATCTTTCTTCAGCAGCACGCCTTCCGAGTCCAGCTTCCTTTCTAGCAACAGCCAGGTCATATTCCAGACTTTGTCGCAATGCCTCTCCTTTTTCAACCTCGGATCGTAGCTTGGCAATCTGGCTCTCGTAGCTTGCCAGCTAAAAACAGACTTCTGATATCATGAACGAGTATAAAAATATGTCTCCAAGACTATGAGATCATGCACTCAAACAATTTTCTTAGAGAAATTTGTTTCTATAATATTTATAAGACAAGAATTTACACATTTATACTTTCTAAAAGACTTGGAAAAGAAGCACTAGCCTTACTCACCAAATAACATTCATTAATTTTCTTATTTTAGAGAATCCACAGAGAAAAAAATTTTTTAATTCTTATATGCACTTCTTATTCAAAGTAAAGAGAAATCACAGGTTTTAATCAGAAAAAGTCATACCTAAGAAGTGAAAAAAATGCATGATATATAGTAAGAACTTAAAAATTCATTCTCGGGCTTCCCTGGTGGCGCAGTGGTTGAGGGTCTGCCTGCCAATGCAGGGGACACGGGTTCGTGCCCCAGCCCGGGAAGATCCCACATGCCGCGGAGCGGCTGGGCCCGTGAGCCATGGCCACTGAGCCTGCACGTCCGGAGCCTGTGCTCCACAACCGGAGAGGACAACAGTGAGACGCCCGCGTACCGCAAAACAAACAAACAAACAAAAAAAATTCATTCTCTCCTCTCCTCCTAATCCCTAATTGAAATCAAGAAGCAAATGGTGGACTTCCCTGGCAGTCCAGTGGTTAAGACGCTGCACTCCCAATGCAGGGGACTCAGGTTCGAACACTGGTCAGGGAGCTAATGTCCCATGTGCCGCACAGTGCGGCCAAATAAATAAAAATAAAATAAAATAAAATGCCTTAAAAAAAGCAGCAAATAGTATCAAAATTTGGTAAATATTGTCTATATTATTTCTCTGGATTATGACATTACTTATAGAGCATAAAGTAATAAAAGTGCCTGTTTTACGGGGATTTTAATGAAAGAATACCTAATTTATCTACTCTTTAGATAACTAGTTAATAACTAGATTTTAATTTATCTAACATACTTCCATGAAGTAGTGTGACAGGAGACAGGTCAGAGTTAGAACCAGATGATTTATAAAGTCCCTTCCCACTCTGAAATTCCATGATCTAATCAATGATTCATTAAGTGATATTAAATACTCGCTACATGTCAAGTACAGTGAAAGATATAAAAACAAATATTATAGAGCCCCTGATCTCAAGTAATGAAATGCTATAGAAGGTCATAAGGGATTAGTTTTACGAAAGAGGTAAAAATGTTATGATAGTTCAAAGAAAAGCAAAATTACTTCTTGCTGGAGGGAGAGAAAGAAATGATGGATGAGAGAGAATGCTAGGAAGGTATCATGTGGGAAAGCATCAAGCTACTATATCAGGCTAGAAATAGATGGTCCAATTACCAAATACAAGACAAAAAGGATTTCTAAAGGGCAACATCAGAAATTACCGTAAGTAGCAGTTAATATGTAGAGTGCAGCGGAAGTTACACTCTTTTTAACGTACATAAGAAAATAATTTCCATTTTTATAAATGTTAGAAAAGTAAATGTCTTCAGCACACTTATACTCACAAAATAAGAATTTACAAATATCTTTTAATAAGTTAATGGCAAAAAACAACCTTTATTACATCTTCAAGATAACTCCATTAATTTCAGAATCACACCATCCCTCCCTGCCCAGGAATAAAGTTGTTAACATTTGGGCATTCCCAGATGTGCCAGTCATTTACTGTTTGCCCCCAGACACCCCCTCCCCCATCCTTCTCCAGCTCTACTCCATATTCTAGGAACTACATGTGCCAGACTTCCCTGCCCACTGGCTTCCTGGGAGTTTGGATCAATGAGAGGCACTTGTGGTATATGTGAGGACAGGAAAGGAGAAGCCAGGGTATTTGTCCCTCTCTAGATCTACCCTGAGCAGCATCTGTCTTCGCTGTGGCTGAAAATCCTTCTGGATAGCTAGCTTTTTTCAACCTTAGGAATGAAAGCAACTTCCTAATGTTGCTACCCTCTGGGTTACCTTAACATCCCCTATTTGTCTTTTTACCGCTTCTGGTACTTGTGTAATCAATTCCATTTGGACACCAAATGATATTACTGCTGGTATCAGAAATAGCCTCAAGATGGGTTTCTGATATTTTGTGGTAAACCTATATGAGCCTAAATAGAATGAAGACCTTTTTGCAGGTAGAAATGAGATACTTTTGCAGTGATCCATGGCCTCCAGTGGGATCACAATTATTTACATTATCATGTGCAATTGTTTAAAATAAAGTGCCAGTTGAGTTCAAGCCTTTGGGAAATGAAGCAGCAACTGCACTTGACCAACATGGCAGTTTTGTTTACTACAAGACCCATGGCATGGGAAGGCTAAATCTAACTATGCTAGAAAATTTACAAAAATGAAAAGGTAATCCCAGGGTTCTAGAATCTCAGCTCAAGACAGTCAGAAAGCCAGAGAGTTTCTATGTTGACTTTAAAGAATCTCTTATTTCTCATAGCCCCATGGCAGACAAGGCTAAAGACCAGATGGAAAATCTAATTATGGGGAATGCAGAATTAAAATACAAGTTGAATAAAGAGCCTCAACAAGTTTCTAATGTTAAGATGGTATATATCAGCTGGGCATTAGGTAGAAAGGAAGGAGATGGATGAGGACTTTTGGAATTAGACAATCCTGAAAACTGTAAACTTCCAATCTCCTCTGAACACCCCTTCTCCCAACAACAGCAGCCTCTTCTCCCTGTCTGAGCTACTTGACCTTCCCTTGCTTAAAGACTTAGTGAGGACCACAACTGAAATAGCTGTCTTGCAACAAGATGTGCAAGACCCACTTTCACCTCTTTGTCGCCATTGATAGACCCAGACCTCAGTAAGCCACAAGGGGAGAAATGCAGTCTTCTCTGGGAGAAGATAGCATCTACAGCAAAAGGACTGCAAAATCTTGCTAATTTTGTGATAGAAGGAATACTGTCTAGGCTTGATTTGGATTTAATAAGCTAGCTGTAACAGCTTGCTTGGAATGGGTGACTGTAAATTGAATTCAACATCAGCCTGCATCACTTAATAAAGTCAAAATGCCAGTACTTTCCTGATATAATATGCAGACTTAAGAAGATGGGAGTGGTGGCTTCCCTTGTGGTCCGGTGGCTAAGACTCTACGCTCCCAATGCAAGGAGCCTGTGTTCAATCCCTGGTCATGGAACTAGATCCCACATGCTGCAACTAAAAGAGCCCACATGCAGCAACTAAAGATCCCGTATGGGGATTTCCCTGGTGGCGCAGTGGTTAAGAATCCGCCTGCCAATGCAGGGGACACGGGTTCGAGCCCTGGCCCAGGAAGATCTCACATGCCGCAGAGCAACTAAGCCTGTGAGCCACAACTACTGAGCCTGAGCCCTAGAGCCCACGAGCCACAACTACTGAGCCCACGTGCCACAACTACTGAAGCCTGCGTGCCTAGAGCCCGGCTCCACAGCAAGAGAAGCCGCGACAATGAGAAGCCCACGCACTGCAACGAAGAGTAGCCCCCCCTCACCGCAACTAGCGAAAGCCCACACACAGCAATGAAGACCCAACACAGCCAAAAATAAAAATTAATTAATTAATTAATTAATTTAAAAAAAGATCTCGCATGCCACAATGAAGGTCCCCCACGCAGCAATGAAGATCCCGTGTGCCGCAATTAAGACCCAGCGCAGCCAAATAAATAAATAAATATTTTAAAAAGAAAAGAAAAGAAGGTGTGAGTGCTTTTTTTATGAGCAAACCAAAACCTCCCCTTTCGCCAACTGCATCCTCTTTGAGAGCCCAAAGGACATTATTTTCCTAATTAAAGTGCTCTAAAATACACTGGCCAGCAAAAGCACCCTTAGAAAGTTCTAGCGGCTAACCTCTATACACCAGAGATAATAGTAGATGGTAAAGATAATGGTGGGATATGTCATAATTGAGATGGACTCGCCAACCTCAGTCAAAATGGTGAAATTCCAGGGCAGCAAAGGCCAAGTGGTAGCAATTAACCAGTAGAGACAAGGTGAGCACAGTTTCTATAATGGACGGCTGGAGCACAACAGTAATCATAGCATTTGACCTCCAGGTATTTGTGGTGGTATCTAATTGATCCTCGTGTACCCGGGAATTAAAGAGATGGACAGTCTTCTAAAGCAGTGCCATGCAGTAGATATATAATGCAAGAAATTTTAAATTTTGTGTAATTTTAAATTTTCTAGTAGCAATATTTTGAAAAGTAAAAATATGTGGGGCTTCCCTGGTGGCGCAGTGGTTGAGAGTCCGCCTGCCGATGCAGGAGACCCGGGTTCGTGCCCCGGTCTGGGAAGATCCCACATGCCGCGGAGCGGTTGGGCCTGTGAACCATGGCCGCTGAGCCTGCACGTCCGCAGCCTGTGCTCCGCAACGGCAGAAGCCACAACAGTGAGAGGCCCGCATACCGAAAAAAAAAAAAAAAAAAATGTGAAACTAATTTTAACATTTTACTTAACCCAATATATCCAAGATTCTTTATTTCAACATAAAATCAACATGAAAAATTATTAGTGAGCTATTTTACTTTTCTTAGATATTTTACACCTTTTTGTACCAAGTTTTTGGAATCCAGTGTGTATTTGTATCACATCTTAATTCAGACTAGTCACATTTCAAGTGCTCAAAAGATACATGTGGCTAATGGCCACCATATTGGAGAAGCAATTCTAAAGCATTATTTGGTCTAAACAACAACAACAAAAACAAACAAACCAAAAAAAACAAACTGACAAAAAAACAGAAAAACTCCAAGTCTGGTGAGCAGAATCCTTACTTAAGTCTCTAAAATACGAAGTCATACCCTCCCATCAGTTCCCAGACTCCCTGACTCCTTGAGGCACCATCACAAGTACACACTGTAAACTTCCCCAAGCCTTTCCCAATGCGCAAGGTACAAGCTCTGAACTGGAGACTAGCATTTACTATATCTCACATACACAGATCCAGGAAATAAAGGATGGAAGTGGAAGTGGCCTCTCTCTATTAACATAGCCTCTAATAACCTTACCATCTACCAACCCACTC